GTTTCACATTTAAGTCTTTGATCCATCTGGAGTTAGTTTTTGTGTATGGTGTGAGGTACAGATCTTGTTTCCTTTTTCTGCAAATAGATATCCAATTTTTCTAACACCATTTATTAAACAAACATTCTCTTCCCCACTTAATGGATTTAGGCCCTTTGTCAAAGATCAGCTGACCATGGATCAATAGATCCATGTCAATGGATCTATTTCTGGGTTCTCAATTCTATCCCATTGGTCTATGTGTCTGTAATTGTACCAATACCAGGCAGTTTTGACTACTGTGGCTGTATAGTAGGTTTTGAGATACTCTCTATTGCTTTTGAAAACTAGAAAAAGTACTGTAAGAATTCAGGGAATATTTGTTAAATGCAAAAAAAGTAAAGTCTGTGACTTTATCTTATCTATCCAAATGGATCCACCATAGTTGTATACTAGAAAAGGCTTCTCCTTGTATCCTAATGTAGAGTATTCCTATGAAAGCTTTCATAAGCTAAAATAGAATAAATGGAAGAAGCAATTACCATTCATTTATATGGGAAAATTTTTGAGCATTCACAGACCCAAAAATAACCTACCAAATAGCACGTGAAACCTAAAATAACACTAATATATAGTGTTCACAGACACGGTTCAAAGTTATGGTGGCCTGATGCTGAGATGCTGAGTGTTCTTCCTGGGAAAGGAGCCTAGTGACACCACTCTAGCTGCTGGAGTTGTGCACTCTGCCTCATTAACATATCGCTGCAAACAAACAATGCTAGTTTTGCTTTTCACCTTTTTCGTAAAAGTGAAAATCCTCTTCAGATTTCTTTTAGTTAGCAAAAACAGGCACTAATATAAGCCTTTCATAAAAGCAAAGTGGTATAAAGTGAACTTTTCAAAAACAAGGGGCACCTGTACTTGGTTTTCTATTCACCGTCCTGTAGAACTAAAAGGAGCTCTGATGATGTAGTGATAGAGGCATTTGGCTGCTATCCAAATGGTTGGGGGTTCGAACCCACCACCTGCTCTGCTGAGGAAAGATGAAACAGTCTCCTTCCGTAAAGATTTATAGCCTTAGAAGCCCCATGCAGGTCACTATGAGTAGGCTTTGACTTGATGACAGTGATTTTTTTTTTTTTTTGTAGATCTTAAATCTCTTTTGCCTCTGTGCTTTGGATCATGCTGCTCCCTGCCTATGACTGTGGCCTCTTTCTTATCTACTATAAGATCTTTAAGGAAAATACACCTGAGAGTTTATTTCCCTTTCCAGTTATAAGCTATCACATTTTATTCACAGAGGCATGGTTAAAGTATAACAATTACTTATCTATTGTCTTAATACTTCCCTCTAGCTGTTTGCCAAAGTAGATGCTAAGTTCTCACAGAACAAAGAATTTGTGATCTACTTTTCTATCCCCCTAATTTCCAGCACTATGTATCTGAATAAGAAGAATCAAGGGAATACTTTTGATGGCCTGATCTCTCTACTTCATTTTGCTCCTTTAAAGACAGCATCAGGTGGTGAAATAACATTATGTTCCTATACTCAACTAACTCACTGCCATCAAGTCGGATCCGACTCATAACGACCCCTCCTTGGGTTTCTGAGGCAATATCACTATGGAAGTAGCTTGCCCAATCTTCCTTCCGAGGAGCGGCTAGTGGGTTTGAGCTACCAGCCTTCTGGTTAGCAGTCAAATGCCTTAGGCACTATGCCACCAGAGCTCCTATGTTCATATTTGTTGTTGTTGTTATGTGCCATTGAGTCGGACTCAACTGATAGCGACCCTCCTTGGGTTTCTGAGGCAGTATCACTAGGGAAGTAGATTGATCAACCTTCCTTCCAAGCAGTGGCTGATGTT